CTTAGCTTTGCCGGTATCAGTTACGGGCGGGGCAGAGGGCGGAGACTCACCAAACAGACCACCTGAAGGCTCTTCATCATCGTCAAGAGTACTGAAAAGATCCCCTCCAGTGGGTGGAGGTTTCTTCTTAGCTGTTTCTTTTTCTTTCTTTGTGGTGCTTTCTGTCATCCAATCGTCTTCCTCTTCATTGTCATCTCCAAACAGGTTTGGCTCCTTTTTACCAGCTGGAGGCTTTGTCTCTTCACTCTCACTCGCTCTCTTGTCCCTTTTCTTCTTTTTACCACTTCCATCACGTTTCTTCTACAAAAGAAACAAATTAACAATAAAAGTAAAAGACTACACAAATATTTCCGATACACTCATACACAACATGTACAAATAATATCATTTTTCAGAGTACTTCATTTCATTTCTTACCTTCTTTGATTTCTTAGTAATTTCTTCCTCCTCTTTCTCTTCCTCTTCCTCCAGATCTTCTCCTCCAAAGAGCCCTCCTCCTCCTCCAAACAATGGTACTGCTCCTGATGGAAGCTTCTTCTTTCTCTTCCCACTCCCGGTCGACGAGACATTAGACTCCGCTCGGTCACGCCTCTCTTGCTCCTCCTCCTCCTCATCGTCGTCTCCTCCGAACAGTCCCCCTCCTCCTTTACGAGTGCTACTGAATAGACCACTCCCAGTTCCCTCCTCCTCCTCCTCCTCTTCACTGTCCCTGTGACTAGTGAACAGATCGTCTGTATGTACGTGAGTGTGTGGGCGGAATGAAAGTCATGTGATCATCATGTGACTTAAGACATAATGTACATGCATGTACATGTACATATGCATGTATGTACATGTACATGTACATGTACAGTACATATGTACCTTGTTCACTCTTTTTCTTCTCTTTTTTGCTTTTCTTCTTCTCTTTTTTAGGTTTCTTCTCTTTCTTCTTTTTCTTTTTCGGTTTTTCCGATGGGACGGGCTCATCTTCTTCCTCTTCATCATCATCAAGACCTCCTACTCTCTTACCGAAAAGCTTTGAAGCCAATTCAGCTTGGAAATCAGTCTTTACCTGTGGAAAAACAGAGCCTGAAATAACAGCTGGACATTGGAAATTTTCGGAACAACAAAATTAAAAAAAAAATGCTAAACAGCATACTTCATGAGCTGACAATTAAGCACTACAATACAGTACATGGCATTTGGAGTAACTTTTAAAATTCATAAAAAATCCAAACTTGATCGGAATGAGCTCAAACTTGATATACAATATAAGAACATGTATATATATCAGAAAAAATTATAAAAATAAAGAATTCTCTCCTAGCCATTTTTGATGAAATTTGGCCTACGACCCTGTACTATAGTACAGGGATTTTGGTCTGATTCTGGAGCAACTTTAAAAATTCATAAAAAATCCAAACTTGATTAGAATCAGCTCAAACTTGATATACAGCGTAAGAACATGTACATGTATCAGAAAAAAATTTTTAAATGAAGAATTCTCTCCTTGTAATTTTTGTCAAAATACCCCATGTACAACTGCTTGAATGTAATGTAAAGCTAATTTGATTAGACATTATAGTACTGCACATGCACATTAAACATTGAATATACAATGTCTAATACAAATGTACATATTTTAAAAAAAAGAGTTATCTATTTTACCTCTTCTTCTTCTTCTTCCGTTTCTTCTTCAGATTCCTCTTCACTCTCCTCCTCACTATCATCATCATCCTCAGACTCATCCTCACTGTCCTCCTTCAACCGATTGGACTTTGACTTCTTCTTTGGTCGTGTCTCATCTTCACTGTCAAACAACCCGCCACCACCTTCACTCTCAGACTCTGAACCAAACTATAAAAATATAAAAGTAGTAATTTTCTTGTCACTATTAATAGTATATGTGTATTTCTATTAATAGTACGTTTCAAAAACTAACAATGTTACTAAAAATAGTAACGTTCTCACCAGGTCTTCATCGGATTTCTTTGCTTTGGCCTCTCCCTCAACGTCAGTAAACTCGCTATCATATTCCATTACACTTGTTGTGTCATCTTCCTCTTCAGTGTCCGACTCTTCATCTGAATCATACAAGCCTCCAGCAGCATCTGTATAGCATACAAGAACACAACATACATAATATGAAATACATGGAAAATTTAAATATATTACGTGTGGTTTGTTATACATGTACATCAAATATATATTTCAAAATATATGGGTAGCTGCCTGATTTGTTAAACATCAATCTCTTGATACTACATGTACTCGTACATAAGGTTATACTCATCCATATATACAATGTACATGTAGATATGTAATTATTCATGATATAGCTATTGTATGCCCAATCAGGCCCACAGACCTTCCTCTGATGCATATTCTCCCAAAACCACATCATCCTCTTGAAAGAAGGCAGGGGTACCAATCCTAAGGGGTAGGGGTCTAGCAGAGTAACGATCAATGGGTTCCAGTATTGGCTCGGGTGTGAACTCAGCCAGACTCTCTTCATCCTCATCTTCTGAGCCTGTAATAATAATAATTATGATAGTTATAACCTGAGGCTATTTCATCTTATACCTTCTTCTTTCTCGTATTGCAATTGTTCGAATGCTTCGTCGAGTGTCTTTATTCCTGACTTGTATGCATTTGATATTCTTTTCTTAACTTCTTCTTGCTTCTCT